TTTCCCCTATATTCCTAATGTGTCTTTTTTATTTTTAATAGTACTTGGCAAATGTCCAAAGGTTTAGAATTTTAATTGCTATCAGTAGAATCCCTATGTGCCTTGAAATCTGCAAATTAAGTTGCACCTCTAGAAAAAAACTGGAATTTCATGCAGGAATATTATAATGAATGAGGGCCAACTACATTGCAAAACCCTGATTCCAGAGAGATTTTAAATGTAAGATATATGGGAGGGAAGAGAGTTTCAGATTTTTAAAAACAAAAGCAAAGAAACGGCCATTGATGTCACACATCTACAGCCCCAGGTCAAGAATCTGGGACTAACCTGATGAAGTTTTAGGAACTACATGAAAAAGTCCACATGCTGAGGCTGACCAAACCATACACGTCACATCACCCTTACAAATGTGAACACATGATAAACATTTAAACTTAAATCTTCATGCTTGAAGTTAGGAGGAGAAAGTGAAAATTGCACTGCCTTCAGGTCTGCTAGGTATCAGCCAGTTTACAGCGCTATTCACCATCCCTGTTGCCTCTCTGATGCAGACAGGTCAAGCAACTCTGACCATCTTTCCTCCACAAAAATGCATTTTGAATTACAATAATTGTAATAATCCAGGCTACTGGCCACATCAACATGTCTAACTCGGCTCTTTCGCAGCCATTTTTCTCCCCATCATTCTGTTTCATCCTGCACAGCACCGAGTGCCTGAGGAGCAGCTCACCACCACACTACACAGGGCAGAGCGTGCAGAAGGGCACTGCCCTCGGCATGCCTCCCGCCCAGCCACCAGCTCCTGCGTGAGAAAAAGGAAAGAGGTCTCTCTGGGCTGTTCCATGAACACTTACATTTTTCTGTCACCTCTCTTTTAGGTAACTTCCACGTGGTTTAGTTATTTGAATGCTAGTTTTAACTGCGTCAATCAGCACATTCAAAAACCACAGACACGTTTTAAAAAAACCAGCAGACGCAGCCTGGGGAAAAGATTAACACGCTATTGGACTGCGAGAGCAGTCGCCGAGAGACATCAGACCTTTGCAGACTAATGCTCAGAAGACCCCAGAGACCACTAAGACAGGTACGTGATTTTAGTCATCTGTTCCAGCCTATCTAGATTTATGTAAATATACAGCCTGAAATATTAACTGTGCCAAATGCATAAAAAGTCAGGCTCAAGTATTTAGCAAAACAGCCTTTGCTTCGCCTGTAGTCAGTGTCACTTGGCTGCAGTCATGCTGTATCCTTGGAGGCTCCAGTTCCAGCAGTATTTCAGGGCTCAGTTTGCCGGGCTGCCTCTTTGCCCCGCAGAGGACGAGCGGGGCTACACTGTGCCCCAGCACGGGAAACTCCCACCACCTCAGGACCACGGCAGCAAGCCCAGCAGCTCCGACAGCGCTGCTTGCTCCTCACCTACACTGCACATACCCAAACTTAATTCAACTCGGTTACATGTTTTCAGGACAATAGAGACCACCTGCAGAAAGCCAACTGCAAGAAACAAACTGCTTCCCCCCCCCATTTTAAATCATTGGAGTATCTGCAATCATTTTGGTTTACAAATTGTGCACATCTGGATACATATTTTACAGCAGAAAATAAATGTGCAAATGCAGTAGTTCTCCTATATTGTATATTAAAATTAGGAACAATATAATGAAATAAAGAAGTGTTGCAGTCTGATGCTATTCAAGACATAAATGTATTGTTTTTCATTCCAAGAAATTCTAATGAACATGTCTT